GGAAGGGAAGGGAAGGGAAGGGAAGGGAAGGGAAGGGAAGGGAAGGGAAGGAAGGAAGGAAGGAAGGAAGGAGAGAAGAAAAGAAGAAAAAAGAAAAGAAAAGAAGAAAAAAGAAAAGAAAAGAAAAGAAAAGAAAAGAAAAGGAAAGGAAAAATGACCCATAAGCCTATGGCACTAATTGAGTTCAGAACTGCCAACACTGAGGAATCTGTCTCTCCCATATTTGTGATACCCATGCAAACAGATCTCCAGCCTGTCATGTGTGACAGTTACGGTTTATTAGGTATAAAATAGAGACTTCAGGAAAGGCTGAAATAATTTCTAATGCTTTCAGTATGGTAGGGGCTTGGGGGGGGTATTTCCACTTTAATTTTTTGGTTCAAAATTTGTAACTAGCTTTTTAAAAAATTATTTTTGAATGTCTCTGTAAAAGGGGAGTTACTAAGCACCTTGCAGAGAACCCTCATCACGTAAGTAAGGGAACTGAAAGCAAGAAACAAGTCCTGTCTGTAATCTACCTTTCATGCCAGGGTCATTGGTCTGAATCCAGACCACACTATCAAAAAGTTGCCAAAGACTTATGTAATAAAGCCAGGATCTTGCATTATAGAGTTTATGACCTCAAATGACAAGTAATGACATATATGAAATTGAATTTTTCAAACAAAACCACATGGAAAGAATGGTAGAGCCAAAAGGATTAAAGTATGAATTTCACTATAAATATGAAGTGGTTCCATAATGTGACCTCAACTGTAAATTTAGCAATACTGATGAACTACTAAATAAGAAAAATAACACATATGCACACACTGACAGCAGGAAAACAGAATGTAAGAGCTAGAGATTCTGTAACTTGGTTCGTTCGTATGTATGTATGTATGTATGTATGTATGTATGCATGCATGCATGCATGCATGTATGTATGTACACATACATGTATGTATATATAATCTATATATGTATTTTGGTTTTTCATTGGCCTCCAACTCAGAGGTCTGCATCCTAACTCCCAAGTGCTTGGATTAAAGATGTGTACCACCACCACCCCATAACTTAAATTTTAATGATCTTATGTCTCTTATACTTTTAAAAATATGACTTATTTTTATTTTATGTGCATTGGTGTTTTGCATGTCTATGTGAGGGTGTCATATCTCTTGGAACTGGAGTTACGGAGGAGGAATTGTCTCAGGTCTAAAGCAAACCCTATGTGAGCTGCTATGTGGGTTCTGGGAACTGAATCGGTGTCCTCTAGAAAAGCAGCCAGTGCTCTTAATGACTGAGCCATTTCTCCAGCCCTCAGTTTCTTTTTTAAATTAGTAATTATTTTATTTCTTTATATCTCAAATATTGCTCCTCTTCCTGGTCCCCCCTCCCAGAGTCCTCCCCATGCCCTTTCCCCCTTTGCCTCTGAGAGGATGCCCCCCTCCTCCCAGGTATCCCCCTTCCCTGGGGCATCAATTCTCTACAGGATTAGATATCTCCTCTCCCACTGAGGCCAGACAAGGCAGTCCTCTGCTACATATGTGCTGGGGGACCTCAAACCAGCTTGTATATGCTCTTTGGCTGGTCATCCCTAAGATTTTTATACTTAATATTCAGAGAAGAAAGTTACCTCAGAGTAAGTATTTGTTAATAAAAACAAATACTGAAAAGGAATATCCTTCAAAGATACCTCCAAACTTAACAGAAAGGTATTTTATTGTGTATTCTTGTATTTCACAGATAAAAGTGGCTTGAGCCATTGAGGTCTGTGTTCTGAGCAAAGCGATAGTAAGGCAAATATAAAGCTATGGACTACATTGTAGTAATTCAAAAATATAAAAAAGCTTTATGCTGCTACCCAAATTTCTTCATGTGGATGAATAATCCTCAGCAATCAGAACTAGACACGAAATTGAAATTTATAAAGCCAAAACCTTCAGAAAATGAAGATGGCAGGCTAGAGGCTGGGGTGGTTAGAAGCCAGTCTGGCCAATTAGCAAGCTCCAGGTTTAGTCAGAGACCCTTTGGAGATGCCCAATGACAACTGCTGGTCTCCACATGTAGATGCACACACACGTGCACAAACATTGAAACACGCGCGCACGCGCACACACACACACACGCAAATTTAATATATTTCAAAAAAAAAAAAAAGAAAATTAAGATAGTGGGAAGTTCCATCTCAAAAGCTCTTACAAAGCAATGCTAACTTTTCAATTCAGAATACTGTCCTAATCAAATCAACCAGGGGAAAAAGTATAGGAACGAAAAATATAGTTCACTGAATTTTAAGTTCCACTTTGATCTATGAATACACAGTATGCAACAGAGGTCACAAACAGACTGTCAATACTCTATGGAGAAATTTTAGAACTTAGCACAGATAAACAAGTGTATTTATTTTCCAAATTCTCATGACAATTAAACAATTTTCAATTATTATTTGCACTTATTCCTTGTTGTGTTTTGAAAAAGACAGGATACTTTAAAGCTCAGCCTCAAATCCACTGCTTTGTGGGTTAGGTACTAAGTTGCAGACTATTTACACTTAATTTCATCTGATCCTTATAAGGTAAACCGCATGCTATGAATCTTGCCTATGTTACAGATAAGAAAAAAGGCTTAGGGAGGCTAAGACTTTTAAAAGGTGTCTACACAAAGTTTACAATTTCTTTTGGCATGTTTGTTCTTTGTGTCTTTTCTTAAGAGTTGTGCTGGTATAGCTGACCTGTGTAGAAAGGAACATGAGCTGAGAGCAGATCAAAGAATTTAAGTGCTTTATATATAGAAATGACTTACTGAAACAAGTATCAACTTACCTTGGACATGAGAAATGATGAACAGACAGGCTCCCAATAATCTGATGTAAGTGTATAGTTGAGTCATTGTCCAATTCACACGTGTCCTGTACACGGCCACTTTCAGTAACTGGTCCTGCTATTTCACTAATGTAAATGGCCTTACTGAATGAGGTTTCCTTATAGGAGAACAAAATCACTTGAGAATGACTTTCACCTGCAGCTTTCTTCAGACTTCTGGGGAAAAAAACAAACAAACAAACAAAAAAAACAAAACAAAGCAATGAATATAATGAAAAATTGGAACGTTTTCAGGAGTGGAGAGAAAAAAACCAAGCATAACCAAGCTTTTAAATACAGAAATATGCTTTTTAAAAATTGTGGTGTGATCAACTCTAGGAACTTGCATATGCTAACAAAGGGCTCTATTACTGAGCTACAGTCTCAGCTCTGTTGCAATATATTTTTAGAAATTAAAACTATCCTTTTTTCTTTTAAGGCACTGTATTTACAAATCCTAAATAATTTAGTGGAAAGTTGCAATCTCTCCTAACCTCAAATCAGCCAAGACAAGCATACTGGATCTCAACCACCTAGTGCAGTGCTGTGCACACGGTAAGTCCCCAATACTTGGGAAGCCAACAGGACAGGAGTCCCTTACACTTAGGAGTTCTAAGGCAAGCTGGGCAATAGCAAAGCAACTCCAGCTCTATAAAAACAACAAGAGGAAAAAAAAAGGAAAGAAAGAATGACAGAAAGTCTCCTCAATAACTTTCTCTGTTTGTTCTAATGTAATTAAATGATTTATTACCATAATAAATGTTTCAGTTGAATATGGTAATACATGCCTCTGCCTCTAACTCTAGCACTTGGAGTGGGGGTAGGTCTGAGACAGAAATGTTATGAGTTCTAGCCAGTCTGGGCTACATAGCCAGAATCTGTTTCAATGTACCCACCATCACTACCACCAATATTAAGAAGAAAACAAGCCAGGCAATGGTGGTACACACCTTTAATCCCAGCACTCAAGAGGCAGAGGTAGTCAGATCTTTGTGAGTTTAAAGCCAGCCTGGTCTATAGAGCAAGTTCCAAGACAGCCAGGACTACACAGAGAAATCCTATCTCAGAAAGCAAGAACAAACAGACAAGAAACCTGTGACAACTATAAACTCAATACATTATCTGTATGCAGAACTATCCTAAACTATGAACTCTAATCTCACCAGATATTAATAGAATGCACTGCTATAACCATAGAGGCTAGCTTACAGGAATGTAAAGGACAAATTATTTCATTTATATACAAATGAAATAAGCAAGGGTCACAGGATGTAAGAGGAACAGACAACAGAAAGGGAGACGATACTAATGGAATGGGTTACTAAATACCCTCCAAAGCTCAAATACTGTATAACAGTGCTCATGTCATTAGATACTATTCATAAGGGGCTTATTTTATGCATCAGCCTACATATCACACACCAAAACTATAATCATGATAGAAACACAGATTCATCTTTCAGGAAGTTCAAAGTCACCCTAACACAGGGGGGTCACAGTACAGTGATAGAGTTGTTTGTGGGAGGTTCTGCATCTCAGGGGAAAGAAATAAAATAAATACTTTTGACACAGAACAAGACAATAAAAAAATGTAAGTATGTTTGCACTAAGTACAAAATAGGAAAAATGTGAAACCCTGGAGGGCCCAGATCTATTCAAATGGAAAAGCCCCCTCCACATAATCCTGAGGAGTAATACTGAGAGTGCTATGTGAAGATACACAATCAGTCCAACTAACACTCTGTACAAAGATTTCTGAGGAACAGAAAAACAGAGAACAATGCTTCTGAACTATGGAGAATACAGTAGAGTAATAAAAAAGCGATCGGAGGACAAAAAGGACAAGGACCCTATAAAAGATTTGGGCTTTAAAATGTAAGATAGACAGTGTTAGCTATCCAGTTTTTACATAATGAACCAGAGAGGACAAGAGCAGAAGCACAGCAGGGGTGAGAAGACTGCTGTGAAAATGTCAGAGTGGCAGGAGCACAGTGAGTGAATACAATTAAAAAGCAAGATTCTACAGTACTTGATAATGGCTGGATGCAGGGGTCAAAGAGCACGATGAGGCAAAGGTGACTCCCACGCTGCCTGTCTGAACAATTACTGAAATGTGAGTAAGCAGATTTTTGGATGAAGTGAAGAAAAAGAGCTTAAGGGTTCAGATTCAGACAGCTGAGATTACCCAAAAGGAATGTCTGCTGGGCATCTGGTTCTCAAGCTTAAAGGAAACATCTGGGGCTGAAGATACAAATCTTCCATTATGTCAACAGCTTAGAGATACTAAAAACTAAGGCTCTTGGATGAAAGAGTCCTACAGCACTGTTTAGTTAGAAATTCCACTAATGGCCAGGCATAATGGTACATGTCTATAATTTCAACACTGATGGCCAACACAGAGGTAGAGATCAGCATTGGCTACACAGTAAGACCCTTATCTAAGCTCCCTCCCCATTAAGTCAAAAGATCACTGTTAAGACCTGACATGTTCACAATTACTGATACATCCTTGAAAGAATAAAGTCTAATTCCCCTCCCTTGAATATGGGACTAGAATTAGAGACTCATTTCTTTGTTTTGTTTTGTTTGAGACAGGGTTTCTCTGTGTAGTCCTGGCTGTCCCAGAACTCACTCTGTAGACCAGGCTGGCCTCGAACTCAGAAATCCGCCTGCCTCTGCCTCCCAAGTGCTGGGATTAAAGGCATGCGCCACCACCGCCTGGCGAGACTCATTTCTAATAAATAGGATGTAATATAAGTGACTTTTTTGACTAAGTCATGGAAGTACTCTTACTGAAGCTAGCAGCCATGTCCTAAGCATATTCAAGCAGTCCCTCAAGACTTAGGCAGCAACAAAATAGGTGATGATTCTCCTGCCTCAGCCTTCCAAGTGCTGGGATTACAGGCATGTGCCACCAAGTCCTGCTGCTTTTGGTGGATTCTTAAGATGTGATGATAAATGCCAACTGTTACAAGTTAATAAACTTTGGAACAGTGTATTGGGGATAACAGATGAACTAATTTTCTGAGAAATACACTGACACATAAAAATCTAGTCACCATAAGCACAATCAGGAAATAAGTCTGAAAAAGTAGTCAGGTGAGAGAACAATACAGTAACATCCATACAAAGTGCCCAGAAAACTGTAACGTTATAGATATGTTTCTTCAAAGAAGTAGCCAAAAGCATACTGTGTTAACATTATTTCCATAAGACCCACTTTGGAGAGATATAGAACAGACTTTTTAATTCTGCATTATTATTGATTTCCCCCCTCTATGTTATGTTATAGATTCAATCCCATAAAAATGACAGGTAAAGATAGTTTTCATATTATACACTAAAGAACAATTTTAATGGGGTAACTATGATAGCAATCTGCTTGGTTTCAAATGTCAGTTCTAGTTTACTTGACCTGCAACTTTGACAATGTTGATTATTAATCTATGAAGGATTCCCTTTTTCCTTAATCACAAAATGGGAATATTATTAACCTAGATGAGTTAGTACCTCATATCCCAGTATTACATATTCAGTAATTAGGTGTAGCTGCTATAATTATCAGTAGCAATAATGTTGTAGGCTTTTCTTTGTCTCATGTTAACTGTTTCTACAATCATAATACAGCAGCAAAATTACCTGATTATATTTTATTTTATTTCAAGACAGAGTTTCTCTGTATAGCCCTTGTTGTTCTGAAATTCATTTTGTAGACAAGGCTGGGCTCACACTTATAAAAATCCTATTTGGTCTCTGCCTCCTGAATACTGAGATTTTAAAGGCTTATGCCACCATCCCCTTGGTAACCTTATTTTATAACCATACCAAGACTGATTTTTTTATCCTAATCTCTGAAAATAAAATATATGCTTTTTAAATTCCTAGAAATTTCATCAGAATCTTTTAAGAAAGTTTTTATTTATTATCATGTGGTTCTCGAGTGAGGAGTTAAGACAATTTTGGGGAAATCAATACTGTCTGATCACTGAGTCTGAGGATGAAACTTGGTTTATCAGGTTTGAGAAGCAAGGACTTTTATCAGCTGAGTTATCTCACTGGAATTCATTAGAAATTTCACCATAAATTAAAAATATCTACTTGGGCTGGTGAGATGGCTTAGCAGTTAAGAACACTGGCTGTTTTTCCAGAGGCATTCAGTTCAATTCCCAGCAACTTCAGGGAGGCTAACCATCTATAAAGGGATCTGATGCCCTCTTCTGTCATGTAGGTGTACATGTAGATACAGGACTCCAACATTCAAAGAAATACATATATAAATAAACATTTTTAAAGGTTAAAAAAAATCTACTTTTGCAAATGTCACTCACATAAAGATGGAGCCTAAGGAGACGGTCCAGTCTGTAAAGTATTTTCATGTAAGTATGAGGACCAGAGTTTGATTTCCAGTAGGCCCATAAAAGGCAAGTGCAGCTATGTATAAAACCCAGTGCTGGGGAGATGGAGACAGAAGTCTCGTGGAGACATGATGGACACCCTACCCTAGATCTGATCTCAAAAAAAGTGACAGAGGAATCAATGGCACACACATGCATGCACACAGGCAGATATTTAAAATACCACTTAATCAAAACTGTAAAACGACATAGGAATTTAAAAGCTACCAAACTGGCAACTAACAATTACATATACCCATACTGATACAGTTTCTTCAGGAAATAACATGAAATTACAATGAAATACAAAGTATTTTTAAAAGAAAGATTTATCTATTGCTTTTTATTTATTTATTTGTTTGTTTTCAACACAGGATTTTTATGTATAGCCCTGGTTGTCCTGAAACTCACTCTGTAGACCACACTGGACTCAAATTCACTGAGATCTGCTTGCCTCTTCCTCCCAAGAGCTGGGATTAAAGGTATGTGTCATCACCAGCAGCTAAAGAAAGATTTACTCATGATTGTTTGCCTGAAGGCATGCCTGTGTGTGTCTAGCGCCCTGGGACTAGACTTATAGACTATCATTATTTAAATGCTGGAAATTGAACCTAAGTCCTCTGAAAGAGTGATATGTACTCCTAACTGTGGATATAACTCTCCAGTCCCAAGAATATCTTAAGTTAAAAACATATAAAACTTTACAAACAAGAAGGTTGAACTAACAGTTCAAACATAACTAAAGAGCAAATAGAAAACCCCAAATGAAACAGGGAAAGTCTG